ACCTGTCTATCACTATATTAGGACATTAATGTGTTCACAGTCAACACGATCAGTTTCCATTCAGGAATCATCTTAACAATGGCTATACATACACTGTGGCTGTAACACAAAAGCCCCTGTCCATCATTACATCTCAGTTTTCAAGATTTATTTACTCTCTACATTTCTTCCTGTGCAAATATGTAGATAGGTTACATTGTGCTATATTAAATGTCAATATTATGGCGGTTTGCACGGACGAGGAATTGTTTTAAATGTAATGTGCAACTTCCCAGTTTTACTGACAAAACCCATTTACTGTAACATTTGTTACAAAGATTGTTACTGAAATGTACAGTGGATATTTACCCTCTTGGAAATTTTCATGTAGCAAGGTAGATATGATAGATGTATTTTTTGAATAGTTAGAAAAATGCTGTTTTAATGTCAGAGTGAGTGCATAAATGTCCAAAATGATGGCAAAATTCAAATACTCATATGATTTCTCTGGCACTGTATATTTTGGAATATTTATATTTTGTCATAAATACAGTATTTGCTGATAGATGTATTACCATAGTTTCAGGGCCACAGTAAAAGAAGTCATAGAATGTAAACTTTACTATTGATTTGCTCATGTTTAGTTGCACATTGCATTTTAATTTGACAAGTACATTCAAACAGTCAGCCAAAACAGCATCTCTTTCCAGTTTTGCTATTTTAGTGAAAATGAAACTTGGCACTGTCTACAACACTTAGAAAAGATTTAATGGCCCTTGGTCCAAACCCAACTGTTCAGACCAATTCAAAAACACATATTAGTATCTGTTTCAAAATGAGATTATAATTCCTCAGTAACTGGCTTTAGAGCTGCAACATTTCTGCAGAGCTCTGATAAGTACCAACTGTAAGTAATAGCACCACTGGTTGCCAAAATGACTTTCATCTTTTTTTTTTTTTAGGTAATTTCCAATGTGACATTTCTGCCTGTTGCTTGGCCTCTTGCTCCAGAATGTCTGTGCACACACTCATTTTCATAGCTGGACCGCTCGATAATAAACTGTACACTTGCAGTCGCATTCTTCGTCGCATTTTGAAGTGAATGTGATAATGATTTTCAAGCTGTTAGCCTGTAGTTTCATCACATTTTATCCTTGTAATGAGTATAATTGGCACTTGAGGTGATATATTGATATCGGCTAGCTCCCACAGGCTTCTATGTTGTTCTATTGTGTTAACTTGAGTGTTAACAGATGGCAAAAGCCCATTTGACTTACTAATGTAGCAAGAATTCCTCAAGCTTTGAAGAAGCCAGGCTGACTGACCGCTTTACACTGTCTCTGATCTGTGAGTATATTTAGCTGTGAAATATAATTCAGCATCTACAGAGGAGTCAGAGCCTTT